CGTGTTAGAGTTTTATATCTGATGGTTTCACAGGTAAAACAGGTTGGAGCGGAAGCTGAAGTAGTGGTTCCACTGCGTCTGAATCGTATCAACAACGTTTGCTAGCTAATAGAATATGTGACACAATGCTTGGTGGTTTAAAGTAAGTGCATGTCCTAATAAGTACAATTTTGAGAGACTTGTACTTTAAATGAGTATTTCAATGTTTTGCTACTTTTTACTTCTACTCCACTACAATTCATAGGTAAATGTTGTACTTTTACTTCACTACATGTATTTAGTACCTTTAGTTACTTTGCCCATATGGATTAATAATGTGAAATATAAATGTCACTTATATAGCTCAGCCGCGTCGTTCTCCCTTTTTTTGTTTTTTGTACTTCTTTTTGATCTCGTATGAGCCCTTCCTGCCCAATACACGAATACTCGAGTTTTACAGTTGAACGGCTTACAGACATATTCAGTTTAACGGTCTAACGGTATAATTTTATATCGGACGTTTAGTGCTGTACACGTTCCTTTCCGTCAGAGACGTATCGTATCCGATTACCTCTACCGGTCCAAATAAAGGTCGTAAGAAATAAATGGTAAGTTAAGTTCCATAAATACGGAAATAGAACGATTACATGGTCCTCCTTCTCACTATTGACAGACAGATCAACGAATGTATTGTCAATTTCCAAATGTCCGAAATTTTTTGTAACTCGTAAAAAAGGAAAATAAGTAAAAATACAGTTAAACCGTGTAAAAGGTACCACTACAGTCGAGGAGGGGAATTGAGGATTGTAGTAGTAGTACCAGGTTGGTGTTTGTCTCTTTATGACTATCTTTACACACACATCACAACTATGCTACCGACCTATCTCCTTGATGTAAACTTATGCTAAATTCTTTATGGGGTGTTTACAGCGAACCCCGGGTTCAACGGTCCCCTTTATAAGTTCAATTGAAGTTTTAAGGCAGAAATGACACATCCTATGAATCAATATCATGCAATCGAAACTCATCCCTATGTACATTATTGACGGACTGACACAGGGGTAACAGTCTACACCACCCATCTTCATGAGTCTATAACATGAATTCATTTTCATCTTCATGGTCTCACATCCTTATGAGACAACGTAAGTTTTACAATGATTTTCATTTTCAATGTTTTTCATAACCGTAGTTTTTATATGATTTCATGGTTTTAATGAGATGATATAATAAACGTCTAACCTGGACTAAAGTCCTTATTTTTATATGATAAACAAAACTAATATTAAAAAACTACTGGAGATACACAAATAGTTCGTCCATTTACATGTCGATCAACTTATTGAAAGATATGACGTCCCGTCCCCATCGAACACTTAAACGAGGTCCACGATCCGANTTCGGATCCTGAACGAGACCGCCGCCAGAGCGCGTCTCCCCGTTACCTGCAGAAGGAAGGCATGCACGCAACGCAGCCCCGCTCTCTTTATCTCCAGGTGACATTCTGCCGCTTTCCTCCGTGGTGCAGTGCTGATCGTTTCACCACGGAGGAATGCACTTCACTAATTGCAGTAATCATAAGGAGCTGTACAAATGCCGCAGTTTTTGCGTGGCTGTGTATTTAGTTGAAAGCCCAGTGGCGATCTGCTCATCTCTCATCGACAAAGGGGCAGACTGTGTGTTGAACTTTCCTGTCGGCTCCCAGACCGTAGTCGAGGAGGGCAGAAGCAACAAGCTTCAGGTTCAATAACCCACTTTAGAGAGAGGCGAGCTCTTCTTGGGAGGCCGTTGCATTTATTTAGCTGTTCTTCTGTTTCACAAAAGACCTCTGTTTTTCTGCTTCCTCGTTTCACTTCCAGAAACATACACACGTTCTCTCCATAGGTTCTCTCACTGTCGCTCTACCATCCACAAACACACATGCACAAGCCAGACCCCTCTCTCTCTCTCTCTCTCTTAAAGGGACAGCGATCTCATCTCACTCTGCATGACCCTAATATCATAACATGTGTGCTCTGGAGAATCACAGAACGGACGATCGTCCTTATTATTATGCCGTTACATGTTATGATATTAGGGTCATGCAGAGTGAGATGAGATCGCTGTCCCTNAAAGCACTTAAACAAAAAGAATTACTTTCAAGTTTTGCTAAATTGGGGTATGGTTAAGAGCATTCCATGGAATATACACAATAAGTGGTAACTATCTCGCAGCCTCCGTTTCTCAGAACTGTACCCTACTATACCGCCACCTTTAAGAGCATTCCATGCGAATATAACAAACATGTTTCTGCAAATAAATTATTATACCCCACCTTTAAGTTTATGGATTCTAAATAAATAAGTAATTAGATACCTTACCGTTACTGTGCTCATAAAGAATGATAAGAATAAGAATAATGCGTATTGAACTGGTTTTATTAATTAGTGAGTTTATTTAAGTTAGCCTAATTAGTTAGAAGCCCTATTTTATCAGTATGTCTGCACAGCAGTTACAATGGTAAAACTACATTAAAACAGGATTGTCCCAAATTTTTCTTTAATAATTACTAACATTATTTGAATGAGATATGGACCGCAAAACAAAAATGTGCCTGAATAACGAATTTCGCAGTTGGACATAAAAGTCAACTGAGTGTCACTTGCAATGACAGTGTTGTGTTTTATTTTATGAACCTTTTACATTAAAAACAAGTAAGAATTTTCAAAAGGTCTTATGTTTTTTTTCGGGTTTCCAGTTTAGAGCAATAGCCCCTCCAAATGTCTGTGCACGTCCCTGCTTTTAAATGTCTTTATTGTAGTGGATGGATCATTCACTGTTGCAGAATATTACAGTGGTTCTTCGATACAAGCCGTGTTTAGTAGCCTACAAAACAGACAAGACTAGCTATCATAATCGTCATCCTTGATTCTCGCACTGGTTATAGCTCAGTGGTTACTTCGCACCATAAATCATCAGATTTCAGTTCTGTCCCTCCATGGGATCAAACCCCGGGCGCAGTCCAGTGTTTTTTCTCCTCCTCAACTTCTGTCTTTCGTTTTGGTCAAAGATAATCCGTGCATCGGCCTGAGATCAGTCTTCCCGGCTACGACTACTTGCGGAACCACTAAATCACAGAGCAGCCCGTCAGCCGCAATGATATGACTGTAACAGGGCACTCATATCTTGCAGTGGATATTATCAGATGACCACCAGAAAGAAAAGCTGGGTCTTTCAGTGAAAGAGGTGATGTTGATGGTGATGTTTGTGTAAACTGGCTCTTCATGCAACCATACATATTGTATTATTACAGAACGTAGGTACTACTGGAGAGGAAGTCAGAGATCAAAGGTGTAATTGATTCCCACAGACTTTATTTGCAGTCTTCTATATCTGCCCTTCTTTCACTATTCCTGGTGTGAAAATGTAAGCAGCTCAGCTTTGATTGGTGGCTTAATGTCATCCCTCTTTTTGTTGAGGACATTGCAGAGGTTTTTAATTGTGTATAATCCATGTAATCAACACTGTAGGATGGCATAAAGTTAACTCACTAGGTGAAGTACATGGGGCAGAGCTGAAGTTGTGCAAAGATAGACCTCAGCTAGTATTTTCTTTATTCTGATCACATTGCAGCAAGGAGCATGTTCAAGCCGCCCTCGCTCCCTCAACCCAAGCTGCCATTATGACTTGAGTTGTTGAGTGACATGAAAACCTCTACTATGTGATAAATATAAAGAGGGATGAATGAAGTCATCAAACATCAGGACAACTTTTTTTCACCAGGAGTGACGTAAAGTCAACCAACAGCAATGAGACAAATAAAGCTGTGATTGTAAATCAATGTATCTCCCCAAGGAATTCTGTAAATGACAATATTTGCATTAGAAATGTGTAAGGAATAATGTAAGTACTTAATAGAATAATGAAAATGTTCAAATGGACTCAAACACGTTAGTCAGTGATAGCCAATTACCTGTTGCTCATGCTCTTCATGCAGTAATCAAATCAGTAGTTTTCACCGCAATATATCTTAAATTCTAGGTTGTAAAAGTAACATACAGTTGCTGGTTTAGCAACATTGTTCACGAGTAGTATAATTATTGGTACTATAATCAGTTCATTACTGATGCATAAATTATTCTAATTCAAATATGTCATATAATTGTGAAATATGCCATTTTGCAGAATGAAAACTGTCAATTTTGTATTTTAAAAACATTTTGAATGAATGACTGTTAGGTCCAAAGATGAGCTGTCTTAACAGACAAAGCAATGCGGAAAAGATGATCAGGTATAATACCTCAAAAAACATGTTTGACTGCTTCAGGAAACAAGCAATTCATTGATAAGACAAGTAGGATTAACACCAAAATAGATCTGCCTTTCCTTCTAAGAGATAAAACTGTAAAGGCAACTTCAACTAATTTGAAAAGCCAATGTGGCTATACATTAGGCCTCTACTGGCAAAGCATGACCCAGAAAAAAAACCTTATTAATTAAGCTCTTTTCAGTACTAAACATTACAAAGAAAAAGAGTGGAATGCAACTAAGAACATAAATTATGCACTGTACCTACCTAGTGCAGTAGTTTTTACATAATTTTGCTTTTCTCGAGTATTATCATATCATGTACTTTATAGTAAATTATTACTACATTACATTTTTTCACAACTTTAGATATTTGTTACTTCTTAGACTAAAACCTTGTGGTGTTTATATGACTACATCACTTATTATAATAAAAAAAACACAATATACATTGATACTGAATGGATCATTCTGCATGAGCACTTTTATTTAGAGGTTTTATAATATTTTGATGCTTATATTAAGTACTTTTACTTCAATAATATCTGAACGACATTTACTTGTACAGAGTATTTCTAAACTTTGGCTGTTTCAATTATCTGACTACCTTTCCACCAAAGCCCTACGGCGCTGCTTTCCGCCTGTGTCGGTTCCCCTGTTAAAAGCATTTTGGTGTTGTTGTTTTTTTTGGTCCCGTTGACTTTTAATTTGAAGGTGAGACCGGAAGTCAAGGTTGACTCGAAACTGCCGTGTAACAATTTGACCTGGCTAGTGTGGTTGTGGATGTGAATAGCAGCGCAGCAGACTAAAAAGGGATCAAACCATAGACTGGATCAAACCTGCCTAGTTTTGTTGCACTGGTCTCATATATTTACTGTAGAGTTTAGCATTCTTGAAAAACTAGCGCACAAGCTAACAGCTGTGGACTAATGGCAGCTGTGAAGAGTATAAACAAACTGTATGGAGTCTGTGTCCATGCTGCTCGTCGGACGGCAGGACTGAAGGCATCCCGTCTGCTTCAACACAGAGCCTTCAGAGTCGGTGTAAGTATACAAAACAATTCTTTATTGTCGTGTAAGGGAGCGGGCGTTAGCTTAATAACAGGAAAGGTCGATTTAGCAACCACAGGATTGTCGGAAGAAGGGATCTCATTTTAGCTAAAAAGGTCAAACAGAACTAAGTTAACATATCACCTAATATATCTATGTATAATATCTAAATCTAAGTAAAACGTCTGAAGTTGTTATGTTTGGGTTAGGATTTGAGCTGTTGACTAGAGTTGGGGAATGCATCAAGGATTCACAAAACGACTAGCGTGACTTCTTCAGTTATCGCGAGACGTTGTGTGGCAGCTTACTTTAGCTTGCCTGACAACCTTGCAGGAACTAAACTAGTGCGTTAATTATACGCAGTGTTATATAACGTTACTGTGTCTTCAACGCAGTCTTACGAGGTCAAACTAAAGGGTGCCGCATTTATCTGGGTTAAAATGTAATCAGCAGCTTGACTGGGATGGTGTTTGTTGTTGTGACTTTAAAGCTGCTAGCCAGATACCTAGCTGGATAGCTTGGGCTAGCTGCATTCTTATTGGTGGAGCAAAGGGGAGTGAGGAGAGAGCTTCCGTCATCAAGATCAACTAGAAGTAGACATACAGGACTGTCTCAGAAAATTAGAATATTGTGATAAAGTTCTTTATTTTCTGTAATGCAATTAAAAAAACAAAAATGTCATACATTCTGGATTCATTACAAATCAACTGAAATATTGCAAGCCTTTTATTATTTTAATATTGCTGATTATGGCATACAGCTTAAGAAAACTCAAATATCCTATCTCTAAATATTAGAATATCATGAAAAAGTATACTAGTAGGGTGTTCAACGAATCACTTGAATCGTCTAATTAACTCGAAACACCTGCAAGGGTTTCCTGAGCCTTGAAAAACACTCAGCTTGGTTCAGTAAACTAAATCAC